CGCGATTTCTGCCCGCGTCGCGTCCTTGAATTGAATTGGATTGAATTGAACTGAATTGAATTGAATTGAATTGAATTGAATTGAATTGAATTGAATTGAATTGAATTGAATTGAATTGAATTGAACCTTTTGGCCGCGGCACGTCGCGCGCACCTCGTACCGCCGGTATGCGCGCGCGGTGATCGAGGAGGGTATAGCCGCGCGCGATTCGCCCACATATGACGTACCTACCGGTAGGTACCACTCACGACTTATTGCATGACGCGCGCGCACACCGCACAGCCCCAGCATTCAAAATTCTTGATTCAAATTTGATCACCATTCGTGGTTTACCGTACCCTATGCTGGCTGCAGCTCCGCGGTGCACCCGTTACTTTGCAGCTCACCTCGAAGCAACGTCTCGGTACACGTAAACGCATCGCTGAAGCAAGAGTCGGTCAAATCGTGAATTGAATCGTCAATCAAGGATTCAAGTCAAATTGCAGAGACTTGCATGCGCAAGGCACGTGCTCACACAAGAGAGGTGAGTACCTAAGCAAACGCCTCGCACCTGACTTGAACCGCAAATCACAATGAAGCAGGAGGGCGCATGTTATCAGCACGGATCCAGCCACTCACCTCTCTTCCGTCACGCCTTTCTCATCTCCACCCGGCGACCCTGCTTGCTGTACTCGTCTCAGCGAATTCTTCATCAGCACGACGACGCTCTTGCTGCCTCCAATCGCAAACGATTTCAGCGTCTCTATGCGCGTCTCTTGCAAGTCGCGTCCTCTTCTCTCCCTCTCTCTCCTCTCTCTCGTCACACCATTCCTGGCCGCTGGCGCAAAACCAACAGTCGCCTCAACCATCACGACGGGCTCCTTCGGCTCTTTGCCTCCTCAGAAACATTTTACCACTTCTAGCAAGGTCAATATGGCCGAGGGACAACAGGTGGATGGGAAGTCTGAAGAGCTGATCAAGTCGGTGCAAGATGTGAGCCTAAAGATGCTGGCATACTGTCGCACATGCCCCTTCACACTTTCCAGAATGCGCTCCAATCCACTGACCCTGACCTTGCCCACACCCAATCAAATGCACACGCTTCTACACAGCTGTTCAGCTGCAAACCTAGCCCCGCGCACTTTTTGAAATGGTCGCCAGATGCGATTTTTGAGGA